GGCACAGAAATGTTCTTTAAGTATGAACTGTTATCAGATAAGCAACTGTGGGGAGGGGGAGAGTAAAGCTAGTAACTGCAGCTTTTAATTTGGAAAAGGGCATGGGAGCTTTTACTAAATTCATAGCACTTTGTTCACTGTGACCTGAACTTCAGCGTCTCACAGTGGTCATGGGTGATCTTGGGCAGGCAGGGATTTCCCATAGTCTGTAAAGCTCTTTTCTCTCATTTCTGGTATGACTTGGCACCACTCAGGCTAAGTTTATAACCTCGTGGTGTGAGTCCTTCCAGAGAGCATGGCACAGCTCACGTACTGGATCTGTGAGTTATGAATGTACCAGTATTGTTAACGTGCTGTTCACAACTGGAATAACAGAGTTGACGGCCTTTGTGTTGCGGGAAACAGCATATTATAATCTGTGCCCTTGTGACCTTCCAGCTGAACCAGGGCTGCTGATTCATGTTGCAAGTGATTCCTTGACAGTCACAGACCATACAATCAACATTTTGGCATTAATATGCACTGCAATTAGAATGGATTTATAGCCATCATCTGGTGCCAAACCACAAATGTGATTAAATATTTTAAGAGTTTTTCCTTCAAAGCAAAAGGTAAATACAAAAAAAAAAAGGATATCTACAAATTTTTTTGGTACTGTTTTGAAGAGCAGTTGTTCCCCTAGCATCCAGGTAGAAAAAGCTGTCTCTGAAATCACCAAATCGGTGTTAGAGTTCAGAAAAGCTGAAGTTTGTGTGTCAGTCAGCTTCCTGCTGGTCCTGTATTTACAGGGTGGCACACAGCAATCAAAATGGAAAGTAAATTAAATAGCTAAAATATTTTATGGCAACCAAGTAGAGCTTTTTCTCTCTGTGTTTTTCCGAAATGCACCACCCCGCATTGCCACTCAAAATAAATGAGGAATAACGTGGTTCTTTGAGTGCAGTTACTGCTTCTTCACAAAGGTAAATAATGAGAATGGAAATAATGTGAAACTCTAATAATTAGGTTTACTTCATTAAACATCTGCTAAATATTATCTTTACTGCAGACTTTACCTGGGAAATAACTCAGGGCTGGTAGAAACACTTGGAGTTGCTGAGGTTTGCTCTAGTGTGAATGTACTCTAAAGCTTTTGCTTTCTTGCTGTAGTCAGGTGAGTAATTTGTGGTTTGGTAATTGTGCTCAGCAGCAGAAATATTGATTAGTTGTAAGGAACTGGGTTACGGGTTAAAAAATCCCTGCCAGAAATGTCTGTTGACTGACATTTTACTCAGTGTTGAGTATAGTAAAATAGTAATTATTCTCCCTTTGTTTGCAAACATCATGTTTAACAGTCATAAAGCAGGTGCATTTGTTAATCTTTCCAACATCTACGCATGCCTGTCTGTGCAACAAAGCATGGCTCAATCTGTATTAAACCCATGCTCCACTCCTGTGATGCAGGGGAGAAGTTTTGTTGATACTTTGCAGGGAGCAGAGTTACATTGCTTCCCTGCTTACACAGTATTCAGTGGCAAAGCACGTAATGCAGTTCCCAAATCCAAACTCTTGAGCTCCTGACTGCCAGGACCATATTTCTTCAACATCAAGTTTCCTGACATGCTGAGCCTTCCTCATTTTTCTTTGTGCCAAAGTGGGAAGAAGTGGAAAACAGCGAGCTTTGTGACTTTAAAAGCTGCAGAGTGAAGAGTTTGCATAAGTGAGGACACAGGATGCTCTGGGATGCTCACTCCATTCCTCAGAGAGGAGCACTGGGAACGATTCCCAGGTTGGAGACTGACAGCTCCCTCTGGTTTCATTGAGTGACAGGGCTGATGTGAGTGTGGGTGGCCTTAGCGGTGTCTGACTTCCTCTCATTTCAGAGGATTTGGTTTACTCCTCCTGTGCCAGTGCACTGTTTGCAATGTGATGTCACTCCGGCGTGGGTGATGCATCCCAGAGCTATGATGTAGCTGCTTCTGCCACAGAGAATGTGATCCTCAAGATTTAACACATTTTCTTCTTTTGTGCATTGCCGAGCCTGTCTTTTACCAACTGGTTGGAGAAGCTTGGCCACAGACAGGTGTAAAAAGCCCATGTCTCACCAAAGCTCTCTTTTCTTCCAGGTGATCCCGATGCTTCCCAAGCTGCTCTGTGAAGAGTTATGCAGTCTCAATCCCATGCGAGACAGGCTGGCGTTCTCTGTGATGTGGAAGATGACTCCAGAAGGCAAGGTACCTCAAGCAGCAAGCAATCCTCCTGCTGTTCAGTCCTCTCTCGGTGCCCAGCTCCTGCTCTTGCAAACAGAGCAGTAAAAAGACCATAACACCCAGGTGGATAGCAAAGGACTTGTTGATGAGCAATACTGAAGGATGTAGGACTGTTCATGTATTTTGTCTTGCTGATGAGGTACAGTAGAACTTCCAGCTGGAATAATCTTACTACATGGTGGGGAAAGGAAGAACATTTGTATCATTCTCAGGTATGGAGAATTTCCTGCTCTTTGCCAGGTGACCCATCCATTTAATACCTTCCTGCAGAAATTCAAAGGCTTTGGGTAGGACAAGATGTTCCCTGAGTCCAGCCCTGCCTCATGCTCCTAGGCAGTTGTGCAATGCAGCGGATGCAGGCAGTATTCCTCTGTGGCCTCCCTGGTAAACAGACTATTTCATTCTTTAGAGCTGCAAATTACATCGATTCAAGTAAAGCGTGATAGCTCTTCAGCAAAGGCACAGCTCCATCCTCTGCATGTGTTATTTCCAGGGAGCAGCTGTGGAGGCTGGCTGTCAGTGCAGAGAGCTACCTTCAGCTGCCTGCCAGCTCTCCCCAGGTCTTCATTTCTCTCCCTGTTCTTCTCCTACAGTCTTTGTAATCCTAACAATCTCCTCTTTGGTGACCACAGGGTCCCCTCACTGACTGAGGAGGACTAAAGACTGCCACTGCCAGAGGACTCTCCAATCTATGTGAAGTACACTTTGTGTACTCAGAAATTGTTTTTTTTTTTTAACCAGTGTTGTGCTCATGTGCAACACTGTCTCTGGGGGAGAGTATTTCTTCTGCCAATTTGGTAGTTTTTCACAAAGATTAACTTTACTTCCTTATTATTGTCTATGCTGTTCTAAAGGATACTGGATCTTGTTTTGTGCTTTAGCAAAATATAGTTGCAGTTGTCTATCTGTAATTCTCCAGCAAGTCCCTGCACTGGCACTGCATAGGTTTTGTTTGTTGTGAAAAGGGTTCCACTTCCTATAGCAACAGCATGATTACTCATGAGGCCTTCTAATAGTAGCTACTTGGTGGGCCTTTTATTGACTTTGAGTGGTCTTCAAAAAGCTAATAGGCAAGTTTTAATTAAAATAAGGCTTGTCTCTTGTCCCCTGCGACATATACGTTATTTGCTTTTCAGACAGTGTTCAAACCAACCCTGTGTGACCACTGAGAAAATAGAGGAGCTTCAGCATCTGCCTTAGGCTTGCTCAGGAGCAGATCTCTGGAGGAATAGTGATCTGGGCCATGACCACAGTGCCCCTTGGAAAGCAGACTGCCTATGGTCATCTCAGCAAACTGGTTTCTCCTAGCAGGCCTTTCAGGACTTGCACTTGATTTGAATATCAGGCAAAGACCAGAGAATAATTTACTCCTTCCAAGAGCAAAAGTGGTTGTAGGGCTTTTGCCCAGCAGGGCATTCTTGTAAGAGCTTATCTCTGAGTTGAAACAGAAATGTGTCTCCTGTACTTCTAGGTGTTACTATAGCCTGAATTCAGTGTAAACAGGATCACATGCTCTCCCAGGCTCTGCTGGGTGAAAGGGAGGCGAATCAAAGGCCCCAACATGGCCTTTGAAACTCATCTGGTGGTGGAGAGCTGTGAGAACACTGACACTGAGGACAGGGCATTCCTCAGTGAGGGATGCATGAGGCCAAAGAGCACTTCATTCCACCCCATGTACACAGCAGTATCGTAACCTTGAGCTTGCAAAGCAGAGCCCAGCAGCACTACTAGAGGTAAGAGCTGCTCTGAGTCCCCACTGTAACTGTTCTAAAGCAAATAAGTCTAGGGCTAATGCATCTCCCAAGAGAAAGCCATGCAGATTCCTCATGTCAGTGTGACTATTGATAAGTTGTTGACATTGTTTATTCTTGTTTCTTATAGAAAAATAATTCCAGGCTTAGTACTTTCTGGGAGACAGGCACTTTCTTTTTTCTATTGCTTGTGGGTTTTGGAATTTTTCTTTTCTAGTTTTCATTGAGTGTAACAAAATGTTGCCAGAGCAGTACTCTGCCTAGCTCCATGGACTCCAGTGGGATAGTGTGACATGATGTATCAGAAATTATTTTCCAAGGGCAGAGGCGTTAACCATATTGTTGCATCTGTGCTGTTCTTCAGAAGCAGAGCTGGGCGTTTGTAGGAACAACGTAGCACGTTCTTGTTCTGGTGCAGTCAACAGAAAGATATTTGACAACAAACGATGCAACTCTTCTTTTTAAGTTATTGCCGGCTGGTGGTTGAAGCACAGCCCTGCTGGTTCCTCCTACCAGTGAGGAATTAAAATGGCTTCAGTCTGAAACAGCCTATACAAAAAATGTGTCTTCAAGGCTCATAACTCTTGTTGTCAGCCAGGACGTGATACAGACACTGCCTTGTGAGGAGAAAGTCCTCAGCCTCCTGCACAACTGCGTCACACCCTCAGAGAGACTCGTACCACCATGGACTGTGCTAGTGGGAGGGTTCCAGCTGAGCCACACTAACTGCCATCACATGGTTTTTACTCAAAAAAAAAAAACAAAAACAAAAAAACCCCAAACAAACAAACAAAAAAACCAAAAAACACAAACAACAGTTTTTTCTCAAAAGCAGCAAGAGCTGAGGGAAACCTTAACATAACCCTAAAAATGTCTCAGTTACTGGTACTCTGTCTGCAGTTGGGGTACACCGCGTTTGCTGTGACAGGAGACACCTTGCAGACTGGTCTTGTGGGCTACTCGTAATCTCCAAGTCCCAGCTCGTGAACCCCAAATGTTGCTCCTCTGCACTGCTTTGCCCATCCATCAGCTGGCACCGGGGCTGGCCAGCCTCATGCAGCTTTCCTCTCAGAAGCAAAGCTTGCCTGTTCCTCCGGTGGCGCTTCCAAACCAGGGGCGCAAGGCTGTGGTTACCCGAAGTCTGCCTGGATGGCCACTGGGGGTGGAGATGGAGGGCATTCCCAGGAAATGTGTGGGCAGTGAGTAGAGTTAGGCTAGCCTGCTGCAGCAAGGCTGAGCGTGGCACCTCTACTCACTACTCACAGGGGTTACTGGACTGTGTGGGGCAAGATGCATCCAAACTCCATTCCTTTTCTGCATGACCTGTTTAAGGTATCCAGGCAATCCTGATGAGAAGCTGTTTCTTGGGTATGTTAATAAGAGATCTCTCAGGCTTGTCACTGACCAGTTCACACCTGTTAGAGCCATTGCAGGAATGGAAATGGGGCACTCTACATCACACTGCTTGTTGCCTTTGAGAGACCAAGCACACAAAAAGAAACTGAGGAAATGGAGAAATAACAGAAATTTAACATCTGCTAGTAATGGGCTGCTTGTCCTGATGCTTTGCCCTGAATGTAGCCTGCCTGAGATTTGACATTCTAGTTGTATTCTGGGGGCCCAATATGCTGTGTCTCTCGTCTTACAAGGAAGTGAGTGGAGCTCTGAAATATTTGGCCTCTTCTTAGCAAGCAGAAAAATGAGGTTTTGTTGAAAGCTTCAAGTTTAGACAGCAAAGTGGAAATCTGGTCTATTGCCTCTTGCAAGGTACAGTGAGAGCTCTTGGAAGCTGGTGGCAGAAAGCACTGTGCAGCCTCAGAGCTGACTTCCAGGGGTAGCCTGGGGACTGGGGAAAGCGCTTCTGTTCAGAATTACCCTTCTTTGTGCCCAGTCCTTAACCCTGTTAAACACGTGTGCGTGATGGAATTGACTCACCTACTTTAAAAGCAAAATGAGAGTGCTTTCCAAACACCAAATATTTAGTGTGGGATTGTATAACAGTGAGAGCTGGCATTGATGCAGAAATTGATAGCAGGAGATGGAGGAGCTAGCAGGGAGGTGGAAGTAGTGTGTGAAAATGTTTGAACAGCAAGTTGAAAGAGCTGCCTATTACAACTGAAGGGTTGGTAGAAGTGCTTAGTTGAAACAAAGGCTGCTCAGCCATCCTCCCAGATCATCTCCACAAGGAGAACCACCGTTCTCGTGCCTGAGTACCATCCATGTCTTACTGAAGCCTGAAGTATCTCTACTATTGACTTCTTCAATAGTCTTCAACTTGCTGGAAGTGGATCATTTAAAGAGCAGTGGAGCCTCTTCCACACCAGAGGTTGTGCTTGTTTAATATTGGGAGGTTTTTTGGGTCCAGCAGACTCTATCAGATGTCACTGACCTACCAGATACGGATCCCCCATTGCCACAAGAAGGTGAACCACATTTAATGGGCTGCAGCAAAGCAGATGCAGTGCAGATGCTGCCACCACTTTCACAGCATCTCTGCCCTGCTTTGTGACTTTCTCTTCCTTTCTTCTTGGCATAGAGAAAGGGGCACACACAGAATAACCATAAGCCAAGGGTCAGAACACTTTACATTGCAAGACATCACTTGCTGCATCCCTCCTGTCAGGATGCTTTCAAAATAGAAATGTGCTTAACTGCCCAGTGACTTTCAGAGCTCTGAGCTGCTGAGTTATACTGCACATATGTTCTATATGGTATAAGAGAGGGAAGCAGCAAAGGTATCTTGAGGATCAATGATTTCCTGTTTAGAAGAGGGCTGGCCTTTATGAATCACTGCCCGTGATGAGTCTGTCATGGGGAGAGCTGACTGTTCTCCCCAGACACAGCCACTTGCACAATTTACCTTGTCCTGTTGTTCTGATGAAGGGATAAGGTGGCACTCGCAGCTAAGGCAGAATTACAATTCTCCATTCATTCTCTGAGCACTTGTGCTTTGAATGCTTTATCACAGACTGCATCCGTCTCCAGAGCCCTCATGCCAATGTACTTGACTCTTCTGGAGAGCTTTCTATCCTTTGTGCCTCTGCACTTTTTCACTAGCTTGATGAGTATTTGCACTCTTTTACATATCTCAGCTGAAAATAGATTTTCTGTTCTACTTTAAGAAATAAATCTGAATTGCTGCTTCTGCATTGAAATTCTGTTAGTGTTTAAAGTGGGAGTGGCTTCTGCCTTAAATTAAAATAATTTAGTAGGGGGTTTATAGGTTATTTTCCTCTACATTCAAAATTAGCTTGGAAGCTTAGAAAGGTTCCTGGCTTGAGTTTGGGACTGGAACCATAGGCATGATCAGAGAAACAAAGTGTCAATGACTGACCTTCTTTCCTCGAGACCCACCAAAGTCCTACTCAGGCACTTTCACAAGTGCTAGTCAGACACTGGAATTTCTGCAGTACTCCTGCAAACTGAGTGTTTTAATGCCAGCCCCTTGTGTGCTGCTGGCCACACTTTAATCAAAGAGGTGGAATGCAATCTCTGTTTTAGACAGAGGAGATCCTTTCTTGCCTGTGTGTGTCTGCCTGTTTCCACTCTTGCACCTAGTAACCCTTGAGTCGGTTTTTGACTCCCCAGTGGGCTGTAATTCTTTGAGCTCTGTGAAAGAGGGAAATCGGATAGAGGAGGGAGACGCAAGCAGTTCTCTATGTGTATGCACAATATGTTGTGCTTATGTTACTAGACACAAGAGAATCTATATAAGTGAAAGGCCCGATGGTTTTAGTATGAGAAGATCTTCATGTGAAGCTCACAATCAGTGATGAGGTCTGGTGTCATTCCTTCCATTCTTTGTTCCACTTCTCAAGCTTTTGTGCACTGGAATAAGAAGTCCTCAGAACAATTTACACTCTCCGATTTTTGCAGATCCTTGAGGAATGGTTTGGGCGGACGGTGATCTGCTCCTGCGTGAAGCTAAGCTATGACCACGCACAGGCTATGATTGAAAGCCCCGGGAAGATGTTCTCACCTGAAGAGCTGCCCCCTGTCTCCCCTCAGCACTCGGTAGCCGAGATCCAGCAAGCTGTGCTGAGCCTGCACCGAATCGCGCAGAACCTCCGCAGCCAGCGCTTCATCGACGGGGCTCTGCGCTTAGACCAGGTGAGTGACTCCGGCCCTCCCAGAGGCTCCTGCGCCATGGAAGCCATTTCATGTTGTAATCCTTTAAGAATTTCCTGATCTGTCTAAAAACTCGAAGGGGGAAGTCAAGGCTGGAATAGAAAGGCAGGTTTGTGTGCCAGTGTCGTCTTAAGAGCAGCATCGAATCATGTACCAAAAGCACTAAAGTAGGAGAAAAAGAAAAAAGTTCCTATTTTTTTTTAAGGAGTGGTCTATCTTTCAACATTTTTCAAAATCCTAAAACCCTGGTGGACTGGGTAAATAACTCATCCAGTGAAACAAACCATGACACTGTCATCCATTATCAAGCAGTTCAGATATTCTCAGTGCACATTTCACTGTGGAAGGCTCATCCTCCAGATTTCTGTGCTTGCAATACTCATGTTTTCCACAGCTTTTGTAGCAGCTCTCTGTGCAGGGAAAATGACTAAATGTTATCTAAGCTAATACTTGTAAGTGCTGGGTGTGTTTCAGAGAAAGAAATGCTAGTGAGGAGGTTTTCTGTCTGGCGTAATTGAAATTATCTTGTATCATTTGTGGTATGTGTCACTTGTATTTTACAAGTAGACCCAGATAGTTTAGGCTATCACAGCAAAACAAACTTTTGCATTTGAGGTTCAACTGCTCTGAGGTGGCTTCTGACAGTTTTGTTCCAGTAATTTATAGAACCCAGTGGCTTTCCTGAGCAGAAGACAAAATAATCTTTTAATATAAGGAAACTCTATTGTTTCATTTTGCAAAATGAGCATGAGTCAACATAAGGATATTGCTGAGAAAGAAACTAACATACTGAGAGATGTAAACAGGACTATTGTATATAAGAGGTATGTTGTAACCATACCTTTTTACTTGCCATTGTAGTGTTGTCTCCAGCTGCAGGAAAATCTAATTTTAGAGAAGTCATTGCAGAGCAGCAAGAGCAAGAAGTGTCTATAATCTTTGACCTTCCCCGACAGAGCACGTGGCTTAGTCTGGTGAAGCTGCTGTAAAGAAAGAGGAGGCAAAGCGATTTTTCCCTAGTTCTGAGGTGGACAAGATGACACAGTTGTATCTTGAGTTTCAGTAGAGGAGATTTGGGTTACAGCTTAGGATAAACTTTCTGGTGTAGGCATTATGATTATGGTGTCTGGGACTATCTTGCCTACCTCTTGTAGGAGGACTTGGAGGGCTGGTTGGGCACACTTAAGTGAGCCTGGAGCAAAGGCATTTGCTCAAGGTCCCTCCTTGCTCAAAGGAAATAATAATTGTTAAAATCATATTCAAATAATTTTTGGAAATCGGACAACCACTTAAGTTCCGTGGAGTTTTTTTTGAACCTCTTTTGGAACAGAGGCTTCCCTCTTTGAGGTTTATCATACGATGGCTAATGAGCTGGGCATTTGTTCCCAAGCACACTCTCATGCTAGAGAAACAAAAAAACCCAGCCTCTGCATTTGATGAGCTAACTGGGAAGCCTTGGAGACATTTGGGTGGGAGCAACAGTCCACGCTGACTGGGAGCTGTGGCCCAGAAAGGTCACCAGCTGCATTCCACAAGTCCTACTTTCAGTGTAGTACTGAGCAGTCACTCTGTGTGCCTGAGCTGAGTTACCTGTTATCAAACTAACCTCAGGGAAAGTATGTTTTAAAACAGTTGTGACATTTTCAATGGGAGGATTTGGCCTGGGAAGCATCCTGTTCCACTGATACCCCAGAAAAGATTAGCAGTGTTTGTTTTGCCCTGTGCTGATACAGAAGAGCCAATAAAGAGAATATATTGGAGCATCATGTGTGAGGTGGGGTTAAATGTCCCTGTCTGCAAAGGGCACCAGAGAGGGCTGATTCCTACTCAGCCTAGCTCCCAACCAATGTGATAAACTGGGTTATAGCTCACAAGTGGCACTCTATGCCTCACAGAATCTCTCTTCTCTGGCAAGAGTGTCAGAGCAAAAGTAACAGTCTCTGAGAAGGAAGTGCAGTTTAGTTCAAGGGATGCTTTCACCATGCTTATTCTTTTCAAATACTGCCTTGATAGTTGTATTTTGATAAATTACACCCTTCCCAGCTCATGGAGAAAGCTGTAAGGCTTAAGTACAAACAATACATGAGGGATGGGTGCATGGACATGGCCAGCAGCATATGGCCAGGCAAAGCAATCTGTAGCTTTTAGCAGAAGGAGATGCGTCCCTCTGCGTTTGCTCCCCCACTTGCCTGAGTTCCCATGGATTCAGTTGCACACCAGGTCAAACTTCCAGCCCTGAGCAAGTGAGCAAGGGTGGGTCTGGATGGGAAACACACCTTTCTAATCACTGGACCTCTCACTGATTTCCTGTTGAGTAATGTAAATCCTGAACAATGGAAGACAAACTCCAGCAGGAAACTAGGGGCAATGAATTATCAGATTCCAAATAAATATGTGAGCGAAGGAAATGATCATCCCACAGTCTTAAGGGAGGGGGTGGCTGGGCATGATTGACTCCTGTGCTTTTTTTCCAAGGGATATGAGCCCTCTTCCTATACGATGCATTATGTTTGAGAGCTTCTACCTTGGGGTCACTCCTGGTTGAAAAGTGATGACTTTTTTTTTTTTTGCTTACTTCCACCCTGCCATGTTTTGGTGTGGCATGTTCTTGTGCTTCCTGGTGATATTAAGAAAATCACGGGGGGAAAAAAATCACCCATCCTGCTTTGCCCCTGGCCGTGATGGCTTGGAATGTTGCTGCTGGACTGTTGTGATCTAGTGTGAGAGTGGCATCTGCTTACCCATAGTTTTATCTTTTAGCAGTAATTTTAGAAGCAGGAATCTCTGTAGCTCAATGGGTGAAGAATATATATTTTTTTTAACAACTTGGTAATTACGTATCTGGGTCACACAGAAGACCTTGAGACAAATTACAGAGGTAGCACATGATGTTGAAAGCTTAGGATTCATGGATTCTCTGTCAGTATATGTGTCTCTTTGGGGTTGTGTAATTTTGAATTCCTGCCTCAGAGATCTGTAGGGGAATCCTGCTGCATTGGAACTTGGGTCTGAGGACCTGCTTTGCAACCAGAGCCACACATAGAATCATAGAATGATTTAAGGGTCCTTAAAGATCATCTAGTTCCAACCTCCCTGCTATGGGCAGGGACACCTTCTGCTAGAGCAGGTTGCTCAAAGCCCATCATCTGTCGCTCTGTGGGATCTTGCTGTCCTTATAGGCCCTTTCTGGGGCTTTTTCCCTAGAATGTGGTTTCCTGTGCTGCCTGCCAGCTTCCTAGCTCCAGATGGCAGCTGAGCACTGAGTTTTAGAGGTTTAAAGTCTTTGCACCTTCAGAGGCTAAGGAGCTTATGAAACTTTGAGTGCACAGACAAGAGATGAATGTATTTCTTTTCTTTCTTATTTGGAGCTGCAGCTTTTAGATGTAAAGGCAAGAGGTGCCTTGTACTGTGACTTTGAGAAAAGATGTCCAGATACTTACAATATTGTCTTCCTCCTCCCTGGGACCATGAAATGCCACCCCTGTGCTGTCCTCTTGCAGCTTTTGGTGCAGCCACACTATAAGTTGGAGCAGGGATCTGACCTGCTTTAAAAAGCAAAACGAGTGCAACCCACAATTTTCCTTTTTTTTCCTGGCCAGGTTACTTTGAAGCTGGATCACTTCCCCAAACCACAGCTTTTAGAAACACTAGCCAGGGAATCAGATAGAAACTTGCTTTCAACAAAAAACATCAAGTTTGCAGAAAATCTCCTTAGCTCCAGCCTGCCTAGAGGAGACCTACTGATAAATGATTCTCTTTTTGGCCTCAACAGTTTATAAATTAATCACGAGGACAGATGCCTACAAGAAGACAGGTTAAAAAGGATTTCTGTGCATATTTAAAATGAGAATACCCCAGGATGCTGATCTGTCTCTATGACAACTGTCTGTGAGCAGAGTGGTGGCTTTTGTTGTGCTGGTGATTCTGCCTTTGCCAGCACACTTATACCTGGGTGCTCAAAATTTTGGCTTTGTCCAAAGTTCATTGTGAGAACAACAGAGTGCATTTGTATTAGACCGGTTAATGGCATCGAATTGTTTGCTAAAATAGTTTCTCTCCTTGCTTCCTGTGCAACACACATTCAGCTTCGCAAGTGTGTGTGAAAAGTGAAGAAGAAAAGGATAAAAATGGCAAAGATGAGTGTCACCTGGATTTAAGGGTTGGATTGCTAGTGAAATGCTCTCGCTTCTGCGTGCTCCCAGCCTGTGTGCTGTGCCACTGTCTCGTTGGCTGAGCAAGGCTTGTTTTTCCCGGTGAGCTTCTATTGTTTTGAATAACTTAAAGATGGTAAAAATTGTATTGTTGTAGCCCCGTACCACACTGGAGACCTTACTTACAGTCCTGTCCCGTGGCTGCTGGGGAAATAAGAATAAGGAAATAAGTGATTTTTGGAATAGCTTTGTTTAATTAAGGTTGTTGGGACTCCTGAGTTATTAGAGTATTTCTGCTGCAGGCAACATAGGGAAATGAGCACAAAGACCCCAGACACCAGAATGTGTGCAGAATACCAGCTCCAAAACACCAAGTATATGGCATACTTGACATACTAACCAGCTATGGTTTCTGAGGCTCTCAAAACTAACTCTGTTTATTCATAGAATCATTAAGGTTGGAAAAGACCTCTAAGATCATCAAGTCAAAACCATCACCCAACACTACCGTGACCATGTCCCCAAGTGCCACACCTACGTGTTTTTTGAACCCCTCCAGGGCTGATGACTCCACCACCTCCCTGGGCAGCCTGGGCCAATGCCTCACTACTTACTAGATGCAGACAGCTTTGAGAAGCTGACTCAAGCCATTCGCACACGGAAAGCGAGAAGGAAGGAGGGCACTGTACGTGCAGGATGTGACCCTGTATTTTGGAAATGTCATATATAGTTGTGGCTAATGGGATAGGACAGAAACACGTATTTTTAGACAGTTGCTCTTGCTAATGCTGTTTAATTGGAAATCTGAAGAGCCACAGATTAATTACTGTC